GTGAATTTTCTGATATCTGTTTCTAATTTTAGTACTACATAATATACACCAAAATACCCACTCAACGGTCAATCGATGCTAAATGTCAATCCAATGTTAAAACATTCATTAGACACGCATAAGGTGAATTGCTATCCATATTTTATGACCCTGTAATGTTGGACAACATCATAGACTCATATATGTGTAACGCTAACCTTCTTGACCAACAAAAACCAACCTGGTCTAATACTGACCATACTAGATCAACACATTATCGCACGATCATGCCATTTTCGTAGGGGACGATGCTTCTCTGACATGTCCTTGCTTCCACACGACCATGTTGGATTTCCCATATGCCACTGCATGCATGACCATATAACTTTCTCGAGTCATGCCTTGTTTCTTTCTTGGTTCGACACTTCAAATTTTTTGACCAAATCTCTTTCGTTTATTTCCTCAATCCCCGTGATATTAACATATATAAATATATTTTCAACTCCCTCCTCTCTGTTCATATATATATATATATATATATGTGACACGTTTCAAATACAATATGTTCTATTGTTACAATCAATACAATCTAATCAATTGACATATTTATGGAAAAGATGATCATTTATTAATTATGATTTGAATATTTATGAAATATGATTAGAGTTCATTAATTATGAATAACATTTTATATAGGAATCAATCAGGATATTTATGAAACCACATATTTTCACTATATTAAATGGACGGTTGAGATTGCATTACAATAATTGTAACAATAGGTTAAGTTGCATAATATACGCATGTTTGTATATCTCATATTATTCCCAGGGTTTAAAACCTGCACCGTCCCTAATCTCCACCATCACCATCTTTGGAGTTCAAACCTGCACCGGTCCGTGAGTTTCAAACCGAGCACCACACATCCATCAATCTGTATATGTTCCATGATTTTGCTTAAAACCATGGTGGGTTGAAACGATCGATACCACTTCAGCATTTTCACCTAAGATTTAGTCTACGATCTATCTCGTGTTCCACATTTAATGCTGACGTCATAAGGATGGATGACGTAAGCAGAAGGCAATTTTTGTCTTTACCCAAAATGCTATAATTTGATATCATAGAATATTCCCAATTATTAAATCAATATAAATATTTAAATACAGCAAATATACTTTTGAGTGGATGTTTTTTTAATCTATTAAATCTTTACATTTTTAAATGATTACGTTTTTTAATATATAAAGTATTTTTTTATTTTAAAATAAAGAGTGAATCACGGATTTGGTCCCTGTAGTTTTCCGTTTTTATAGTCATAGTCCCTTTCACTAACAAAATTTCAAATTTGTTAACCCTGTTGATTTACTATAATATTTTACATACTTTAATGTTTCTCTTTTTTTCATGAAAGAAAAAAATTGATCAAGAACACCACCGTACCCACCACCACTCGAGCACAATCCCAAAGACCAACAATGTGAAAATCCAAATAAACAAAACCCCTAAACCGAAACTTCCCTAAATCCACACGAAACGAATCAAAACCGAAAACATAAAGAAGACGAAACACTTTTGGGTTTTGATAATCGAAGCCAACCATTGAGAAACTCTAAAGAAGACGAGGTCGAGTTCTTTAAAGTTCATCAACGGAGATTCTTCCTCCAAAGGCTCATATTTGGATTTGTACGTAGTGTTGAACCTCCTCTTCTAGTCTTCTTCATATGGAGATGCATAAAAGGAATCCTCCTCTTTTCATATATCTTGATTCTATTGTGGGAGGGGTAGTTATGGTGGGGAGAGATAAAGGGGCCACATCACCAATCAGTAGAGCAACCCCCTTCTAGGTTTCAGTTTTCGTTCAACCATGGCCGACACAAATCATAGGAGCTAACGATGGAGATGGATGATGATAGAGAATGAACGTCGATGGCGCTACGAAGGATGGTAAGAGTAGGCATGACAACGAGGCGGGGATGGGGCGGGTTTTGTAATCCCCGACCCTGGCCCCAGTTTGTAATAACATCCCCCGTCCTCAGTTTGAGTCTACCCGGGATCCTCGGACCCCGTTTTAGTGGGGAATCCCCGTCCCCATTCGAGTCAGATGAATCGGATTCCCAACTGGGTCGGGGAAAATCACCATCCCTAAGTAAGAGAGGGAGCCATGACATTGCATACCAAATGCTATAAAGTTCGGAAACAATAAAACTAATTGTTTAATTCAATATTTTGATGTTATAAATTATATAAAATAAAACATTCTCCGATTTAAATAAATGTATAATTCATATTTATTTAAAACATTGGAAAATTATCACAATTTTAACGTGTATGGACCAGCTGCAATGGATGTAGCGTAAATAATTAAGCTGCTAATGACGTCACGTGATCTATTTTTATAATTATTTTATTTATAGTAAATTCATTATATTTTACTCCCACTAATGGAAAGGGCAAAAAATATAAATTATAATAATTAATAATGAGGAATTAGGAATATTGGGGACCAAGCTACTTCCAAACCTTTTTTAGTCCTTTTCAAATTAAATAATTATAAAATAATTTTATATTAAGGTTGTTATTTTCACCTTTTAATAATTAAATTATTTAATTTACCATATTAATTATTGATAAAAAAAATTATTAATTATTTACTGACAACTTCTTCAAATTTATTTAAAAATAAGTCGGTGTTAATTTATCTTTAATAAGTCAATTAAAAAAATTAGCTAATATTATTTTATTTAATTTTTTATTAATTAAAATAATTTGAGTAAGTTAATATTAATTGGATACTACCTTAGATTTTGGGGAAGATGACCATGGCATGGCATTCATAGGCATGATGCATCAGACATGATGTCACAAACTCTTGCATCATGGTTCATCACATAGGAATTAATTACTTATCTAAATAAATAACATTTTATAATTCTTATATTATGTTTTATCAATATAGTGGAAATGTAATTTTTTTTATTTAAAAAAGGAAATAAATATTTATTAAGAAAGAAAATGTGTAATTTATGTATTATTCGCTCATGTTGATATAATTATGCGTTTATCTTATATTTAAACATGTTTATTGATTAGTTTTATCAAATTTAGAAGTAGAGCTTTAAATAGTTGTAAACTTGAATTAGGGTTTGATCCTTGTGGTTGCCAAGGCCACTTAATATCAGATCACATTCAATGATAAGATCATGAGATTGTAACATTTAGGTTTTTGTCTTGGGTTCATTTTGGAACTCATTATTTATTATCTGATTTAAGGGTTAAATAATCAATTTCTGTACCAACTACAACAAAACTGATTGTAAAATTCACATAAAAAAACATGTGGGTTAGTCACAATTGCATCTGAATGCCACTACACTATGTGGAGTGTACCCATGCAAACGAAGCATCTATAGAGGACTATGATATAGTTCCATTATGCATTTGACAATGTACTAGGAGGACGTTTGACAGTTGTTGAGTAGTTTGATACAGAATGGTAATTAAGTGACCATAATGCTTAAAAGACTCTGTACAATATAATGCATAATGAAATATGATTGTTTGGTAATAGTTAAAAAAGAAACTTCAAGATTCCAACAAAAGTTTTATGGGTATTCCTTAATATTATAACACCCAAGAAACAAGAAGAAATGATTGCATAATCTTTAAAAGTCAACATGAAATACGAGAACAAGCATGAAAATGAAGAAAAGTGAATTATGATATGGTAGGTTTGGGACATCAAGGGGAAAACAACCACTCTTGTATCATAAGAAATCAAAAAATAAAACAAGAAATCGCATTCCAAACCAGAAAATCGACACCAGCCAGATTAAAACCGAGTCTAAAACGCCTAGAGCAGAACAAATGGGGAAGAAGACGTGAACTATCGAGTCTAAAACCTTAGAGCATAACAGATCGTGAAGATGGAAAATTGAAAGTGTACATGTTGTTGAAGAAGTCATCAATTGAAGAAATCAAAGTATGGAGGTGATATGGGGAAGAAGACGTGAACTAGTTGGAGGTGTTTGTTTTAAATTTAGGTTAAGAATCAGATGTTAGAATGAGGGTAATCTTGTGATCTTTCATTTAGTCTCATGTTGTTCCATCTATTTTGGTTGAACTAAAAAAATAAAGTTTTGTCCCATAAAATCAGATCTTCGCATAATCTTCAAAAGTCTACAAGAAATACGAGCACAAGCTTGAAAATGAAGAAAAGTGAATTATGTTATGGTAGGTTTTGGACATCAAGGGGGCAAACAACCACTCTTGTATCAGAAGAAACCAGAAAGTAAAACCAGAACTTGCATTCCAAACCAGAAAATCGACACCAACCAGATTAAAATCGAGTCTAAAACCCTAGAGCAGAACAAATAGGGAAGAAGACGTTAACTATCAAGTCTAAAACCCTAGAGCATAACAGATCATGAAGATGGGAAATCGAAAGCATACCCGTTGTTGAAGAAGTCATCAACTTTAATGGACAACATCAATATTGAGAGCTTGTTGGTGTGATAATCATCGGAGTCCGAATAAGAGACTTGCATCAACAGTTGAAATTATGAAGCACCACCTTTTATTGTCTTCTATCAATAAAATTCCAACAAAAGTTTTATGGGATATTCCTTAAAGATCCTAACACCCAAGAAACCAGAAGAAGTGAGTCACAAGGTCACATCTGATTGACCCGTTTCAAAATAGTCCAACCTTCATACACATATCTTCAAGCGTTGAATTATATTAGTCAAACAAAACAGTACAAACACCATGAACACACCATTGATCATTGCTTCACTTCTTAAGAAAAAAGGAGCCATATTTATTTTACAAACACTTCATATCTCTCGTTTGTATATATACATATACATATATATATATGTATGTATATTATTATAGCAACAAGATTTTCAATCCACACTCATATTTTTGCAAGAAACCATTCATGCAACAGTTTTGATGGAAAACTATTTGTTATTTAATTATATGATCATCATCCACGGCTTACAATTTATCATATGATTTCACTTCTTGTGTTTTGTATTATCATAACCAAGAAGATCCTCTAACAACTTATCATCCAAGCATTCGAATTCGAACACTTCTCGGGTAGCCATGGATGACGAAGAAGAAGCGGTGGCTGCCATGGTGGAGTTAGCATTGTAAGCAGCAGCAGAAAAAGTCGGCGGATATTCCGCCGGAAAGTTCAGAACCGCCATGTGACCTCTCATATCAAAAGCAGCCTTATCATAAGCTCTGGCAGCTTCCTCCGCCGTGGCAAACGTTCCCAGCCAAACCCTAACACCTTGTTTGTTCGGGTCACGAATCTCCGCCGCATACTTCCCCCATGGCCGACGTCTAACTCCGCGGTACCTGACCTCTTCTCCTCCACCACCACCTCCGGCGTGGCTGTCCTTGGAAGCGCCGCCGTGATCCATTTTAGAAGGTTTTCTTGATCTGCAGGTGGTTAAAGAAGCTCCGGTGGCATTTATAGTTGCACGAAAAGGCTTCATGGATTTGAAAAACACTGAAAAGGTTAAAAGGGTACCTGAAAATTGGAATTTGGAAAGCAATTTGGTGGTCCAAAATGGTGTCGAATCTAGTAGGGTTGAGGTGGGTAGAGGCGGAGGTGTGAGAAGTTGAAGAAAAGTGGTTTGATTTGCTTTGAATTTGTAAAGAAATAGGGGGAATTGGAACGTGGTTATTCGATTGAAAAAATAGAGACTGCTTTTTGGTTTCAGAAAGATAGGTAGATCTTTGCGCATCTGCTTATATATAAGAGATATGCCTGCATATACATACATCCACACACACACATATACATACATACATACATATATATATATATACATATTAGAGATATGCCTACACACACACATATATATATATATATATATAATATAATATGTATGTGTGTGTAGGGGTTGGAGGGGAGAGAAAGGGACTGGGTTCAATGGTTATTCCGACCAATAAAAATAGGCGAGCCAGAAATTCGAGAAGTAACACTTTTAGTCCCTCAGCTTTTACTAATTACAATTTTCTTCAAACATTTACGATGAAATTGTTATATACACAACGACCTACTTGTTTTCTTGAAGCGTTCTATAAAAATGATTATTGCAACTTAAAGTTGTATAGTTTTACAAAACTATTTCATAAACCTGATTCGGGTATTTAATATTTTAGGAGAAATGTTAATATAAAAATAAAAAGAATATTAATTAGTATTCATTATAAATTTAAAATTAACTGATTGATTATAATTTTAATTAGATAATTATGTTATTTTTTACTTCTCAAAATTGTAATGATGACTTCCATCGGTCTGTCTATTTTCAAATGTTGTTTTATAATTAATCGAATAACTATGTCATATATTATATTTTTCACGAGATAATCGATTACAGACCCGTGTAATGATGTATACAAGAAGCGTGTAATGATGTATACAAGAAGTGATATCATCGATGATGATGTCATGTATTATGACGATTAACAATCACTAATTTTGTATAAATTAAGGTGACGTAGGTAGCCTTTTAAGATTAGTTAATTAATGAATAATTAAAGTAATATAAATTGGGTCTAATTAAGTTATGTAAGTGAGGTGATGTGGGAGATTACACATCTTGCTTACGTATCCTGTGCATATGTAATCAAACTCATTTTTTTAATAATTATACCGTTAAATTATTCAGTAATATAACAGTTATATAAAGTATCGTTAATATTTATATAATTATGTGATGTATCCAGTGAAATAATAAGTAATTTTCACAATTTAATCTCTTATTTTATAAATTAGAAAATTGAAGATGTAATTATTATTGAAATATGATGTGAATCAAGATGAGGTAATTAATTAAGATGGTGATTAAGCATTAATTAGCACGACAAAATGTAGATCGTAGATGGGTTAGTGGGGATATTTAGTTTAATTTAATTTGATTCGATTAGATTAGATTTATATTAAAGTCAAAAGAGGTAGGAACCTACGTTTCGTCTAATCAAAATTATTTTAGTTGATGGCTTTTTATTTAAAGAATGAATAAGAATTTATGCATTAAAAATATACGACCAAAATTCTGACTTTAATCAGTACATTCGAACTCGAAAAAGTTAACCCAATTTGTAATTTGACGGATTTAGATTTTAGAATCTTTGAGATGTTTGATTTATAAGATTTTGAATGGTATTAGATTTCATTTTTTATAAATAATCTATAAAAACAAGTTATATATATAATTATAAAATAATTAAATTCTCTTTTTATTATTAATTAATTATTATCAAACAAAAACAAACAAATGTTTTTAACATATTTCTAAACATTAATATATACATATATATATATATATATATATATATATATATATAAATCCTTGAAAATCCCATGAAATCCTAACTACTCTTGCGGAATTTCAAAATCCTATGTTTGATGAGTTTCAAAGAAATCATAAGATTTCAAATCCGAGCAATCCTACAAACCAAATGGATCCTAAGATCCTCCCAAATCCCCCCAAATCATTTTCATTACTACAAACCAAACGGACCCTAAGATCATCTCCGATGTATTTTATAAAATAGAGATTTGAATAGGTTTTGCTTCAACTGATTTTCTAATACTTTCTCTAAAACAGAGAAAATATGAAAATGATTACCTATGAAAACTAAATTGGTTTTTTTAATTAACCTGGATATCCAACCCGTTAAGCGAGCTGACTAATCCCAGGACGACCACCTGTTTTGCAAGCATCCCAGAGTCACCGCATTTGAACCTCAATGGCCATAAGGGGATTTCTATTCCCTCTTGAATTTGAACCTGAGACCTCCAAATACCTTTGACTTTTGGAGCTCAAGTTCAAACCAATCAGGTATCATTCTTTTGGTTGTAAATTGGTTTTTATTCTTCCTACCAATGAGATTTCTTGAAATAAAATGTATAAGAAAGAAGAATAACATTTTATAAAAAAACATGGAATATTTTTTAATAATATAACACATATTGTAATCTTCAAAATGGAGAAGTTGTTGAAGATGAATATAACTTTTTTATGGGATTTTGACTTTTAACTATTTATTTTGAAGAATTTGCTCTAACAATCAAATATTTAACGTGGCAGAATACGGTCAATTAGACATAAATCAACTATAAAAGCATTTTCAGCAGGTTCTTTAAAATATAAAACAAAATCTATAGAGTTCAATGCAAATTTGGTCTTGTGGTTTACATAAATTAACGAGTAAGGTTCCTCATTTTTTATAACTAAGAGAATCGCTATAATTTCATTTTTATAACGGATATGGTCCTTGTAAATAACATCTTCAATTAGAGTGATGTTAGTGAGGGGTAGTTTAGTTCGTTAATCTTTCCTCTCCATCTACTTTCATTTTTATAACATATTTGGTCCCTCCATCAACTTTCATCTTAATAACAGATTTTGTCCCTCGCTTTACTTTCAATTTTATAACAGAGTTAGGAAAAATTACTCGATAAGTACTTACCGGGTAAGCGTTTAGTAAACGGCCCCTTAATCCCTCATTTAAATTAGTATTCACAAAAATTGAAATTTATTGGATCAAATATATCTAAACAGTTAATAATTCTTCAACTTCTTTTTACTTTTTTATTTAAATCTTATAATTAAAAAACACTAAAAAGATAGATCGATTTATCAGATACTTAATGTTATTAAAAAAAATATTACATAAATGTTAATTGAATAAAATTACAGTCCGAGTAACGACTAATTTGATAAATGGTTGCTTATAAAGTGATTTGTAGGTTTGTTTAGTAGTGGTAGTGGTAGTGGTAGTGGTAGTGATGTTAAATTTTAGCACTCAAATTTTTACTATCTATATTATATTATAAAACATTTGACAAAAACTTTTAAAACCTATTTTTATGTATAAAATACTGTTTATTGATGCATATTACTTATAATTCAAGATCATACGTAAAATTGTACGTAAGTACAACTTATTAAAACTTTATTTTTTAATATGTATAACTAACTGTAGATAAACATAATCAAATACGAGATAAATATCTCAATTTAATTATAAAAAATCTAAAATATAATTTAAATAATCATTTGTATCTATACTATATTATAAAGCATTTGGCTAAAACTCTTAAAAACTCTTAAACTCTTAAACTCTTAAAAACTCTTAAACCCGTTCATCCCTATCCGATTTCATCCCATATCTGAATTCTTGTAACTAACTGC